TCCAGATGTGGCCTCACCAGGGCTGAGTAGAGGGGCAGGATCACCTCCCTCGACCTGCTAGAGATGCTCTTCTTAATGCAGCCCAGGATTCCATTGGCCTTCTTGGCCACGAGGGCACACTGCTGCCTCATGGTCAACTTATCATCCACCATGACACGCAGGTCTTTCTCTGCAGAGCTGCTCTCCAGAAGGTCGGTCCCCAGCCTGTACTGGTGTCTGGGGTTATTCCTCCCCAGGTGCAGGACCTTGCACTTGGCCTTGTTGAATTGCATGAGGTTTTTCGCTGCCCAGTTGTCCAGTCTGTCCAGGTCCCTCTGGATGGCAGTGCAGCCCTCTGGGGTATCAGCTACTCCTCCCGGTTTGGTATCATCAGCAAACTTGCTGAGGGAGCACTCTGTGCCTTCATCCAGGTCATTGATGAATAAATTGAACAGGACTGGACCAAGGACTGACCCCTGGGGGACCCCACTAGCCACAGGCCTCCAACTAGACTCTGCACTGCTGATCACCACTCTCTGGGCCCTGCCATCCAGTCAGTTCCTAATCCATCTCACTGTCCACTCATCTATCCCACAGTTCCGGAGCTTGCCCGGGAGGATGTTGTGAGGGACGGTGTCAAAAGCCTTGGTGAAGTCGAGATAGACGACATCCACCGCTCTCCCCTCGTCTATCCAGCCGGTCATTTCATCATAGAAGGCTATCAGGTTAGTCAGGCAAGATTTTCCCTTGGTGAATCCATGCTGACTACTCTTGAGCACCTTCTTGTCCTCCATGTGCCTGGAGACAACGGCCAGTATGAGCCGTTCCATCACTTTTCCAGGGACGGAGGTGAGGCTGACTGGCCTGTAGTTGCCTGGGTCCTCCTTCTTGCCTTTTTTGAAGACTGGCGTGAAATTGTCAGTATTTGACTTCTAGGGACTATAAGAGGCAACTATAACTTGTTTTTTCACTTAATTCTTAAGATTCCTTCATTTGAACTCTCCACATGAGACCAACAGGAAGAGGCCAGGGGAAAAAAAAAAAAAAAAAAGGTTTATTCAAAGGGAGTTGTTTGCTGATCTAGCTTTAAAGCAGACTGTCTTTGGGGGAAGATGCTGTGCGGTGCTTGCTATACTGTTTGAGATTTAGTCATGGTTTTGGTAGTCATGCATTTATAAAGAAAGCTCTCAGTATAAATTTAAAGTATGGTCATATTTTGTAGCCTGTTTCCACTTTATCTGCTTCTTACTGCTTTGATTCTATAGTGGCTGGGGCACTTAATGCTTATTCTGGCCTATATCTTGCAGCTGAATCCACTCAAGTGGAAGTGTAATCCAGGCATGCATTTTTTTCTAATCCTGTTGGAATTTGTTCCTTAAAATGTTAACAGATGCCATAGCTTAGGCCTTATTGTGACCTACTTATTCAAAAATCAATTTTAGTTACTGTCCCAGTCTTCTGCTTGCTGAGGAGAAACCTGTCTATGTAACTGCTACTTCATTGTACCTTACAGGTGCTGATAGCTACTACCGTGCGTATGTGCTTTCTTCTAGAAATTAAATGTAGTTCTATCTGGATTTTAATTCCTTAGTCTGGCTTTGTACTAAGACTAGAAGGAAAGGAAGAATAAACTTGCAGATCTTTGTAGGAGCCACTTGCTTTGGTTTCCCAAGGACCCAAAGGTTTTACCTGGCTGAGATCAGCTGAAAAAATCAGTAGTGTGAATTCTTTCCCAGTAATACTCAGAGTTGAATAACAGGACAATGAGCAAATAGCAATGAACCAGCAAACCCTGGAACCAGAAGCCAACCTTTGGTACGTTTTCTACCAAGGAAGGTCTCAATCTGGAGGAGGGAATAAAGAGTGGGAGGCTGATTGCCCTCAGAATGATTTCTTGTGTGTGTTCTTAGTGGTGTGTGCTTGTATTTCTGGTTTGCATCCATATAAACCATAAATATTTTGTACTTCTAAATGAATTCAAATGGCTGTAGTGTTCTGCATGCTTCTTGATTGAATTTTCGATCATTTAAAGAGCTCATGATTTGAGCTCATGATTAAACTATCATGTTTTCTTTCCCTTTTCTTTGGAATAATCCGTAGTTGTTCTCATGACGGTTTCTTGGAGGAACTGCCAGCCCCCTTAAACAACAATCTCCGTATAACCACTGGCCATGAAATCCTGTTTAAAACCTTGGGAGAATTTGAAACTTGCTTTATTTTCCCTTTAAGTCTATTATTCTACTGTTTTTTTTTTCCTTCTCCTCTGAATAATCATTAATTTGATATGTATTGTAACCTCCTTTTCACCTCTAAAGAGAGAACAGGTAGAAAGTGCTAGTGAGGGGGGCCGAGTTGGTTGCTGCTCGCTTGTGCATTACCATGTTTCAAGAAGTTGCAGGACAGCCAGTCCTGCTTTATTCTTCCTGCAGTGCATATTGGAATAGTTCTTCCCTTGCCATCAGTTGCCTTGAAAGGTTTCAGTACCTTTCCCCTTAAGTAAAGCCTCACTTGGCCATTTTTTTCCCCTGGCTTTGGAGTGCTTACAGTGAGCTCTCACCGCAGTCGTGTCTGGTTCTTTTCCCTTTATTTATGCTGCTTACAATTCTCTGGATATATTCCATTGCAGTCTGAGCTCAAAGCAAAGGCTGGTGTTTGGATGGCACTTCTTCCACTCCCCTCTTGTTGCTCGTCGTCCTGAACAAGCTCCATACTTGGGTATTGCTACTTCAAAACTAATTTTAAACTAGCAAAACAAAGCTCGATGGGATACCTAACACGACTGAACACTTCAAGTGTATGGCAGTGTGTGCGGCTCCCTCCCCCCCCACAGATGAGTATTTAATTTCATCTTTGTTTATTTGAAATCCCTCATCACAATTTGAATAATCACTGTGTCTTGGTGATTAGTTTGCAAATCCCTGGAGTATTCCCCGCGGCCTGTCCTTTTTGACCTTTTATAGCTTTGTATCTTGATATGTTCCAAAGAAGAGTTGTTTTAAAAAGTGTTTTTTAAAAATACTAAGGAGAGTATTGAAGGAGATCGGAAGTGTTTTCAAAACCCATTTACATCTGTGGTGTTCAAGCTGTAGTACTAATGATGATTCTTTTTCTGAAGTTTTGTGGGTTGTTAGGTTCGTGCATCCGACGTCTTGGGCTCCACGCTGCGGCAGCAGGCTAGCGCTCTCCCAAGTCTGGGAGTTGGGAGGCACAAAGGGCATTCGCTCAGGCTTTTACTTCCATGTCAGGAGGAGTAG